ATAAACCTCAATACCCCGTCCGGTATGAGGATGAAACGGGCTGTCCCCATACCCCGTCCGGTATGGGCGCCAAAACCATAAGATCTCCATACCCCGTCCGGCATGTGAGACCACAATCCCGGTAGGGTTCCCTACGGACCCGGTCCGTCCACCATCTCCCAGGATATCTAGTCAGGCTGACCCCATCATACAATTATCAGTCTACACAATCTTTCATTTTCCTTTTCCTCAATAAGCATCATCAATTCACATTTAAACAAGCAAATCGTAATTCATGCCGAACAGACAACATACAGTATCAGTTCTTCAGTCATTCAACCCATAATTAATAAAAACGTAGTACATGCACACAAATCTGTAAAATGAACACATCAAACCCCATAATGCATTTAAAGCTGTAAAACAGTGTAAAACATGCCAAACAACAGTCCTTCAACAATATCCTTCAACAATCAGAAAACAATTCAATAAAATATGTATATAATTTAAGTTTTGGTAACCGTATGCTCGAAAGAAGCAACATAAGATACAACTTGTGTATGAACCCATACTTTTGACGGTTCCTCAAAAAATAAAAAATAAAAAAGAGAATACCCAGAAACGCTTCCATGGTTGTATTGTAAAAGAAAAAAGTAGGCAGGAGACCAGAGTGCTGGTTGATCCCTCACAGAAATCCCAAGCTGGTACATCAAAGCGGCCAAAAGAGCCTTCATTGAACCATAAAACTGGAACTGAACAAGCACGAATTTCTGGTATGAGTCGGTTGCCATGGAAAATGCAATCAATCTAAGATGTCATTATGGGCACCTTCAGAAGAAAGCGCCATACCTCTTGATCTTGATTTCTTGACCAAGTAGAGCTCATTTTGATGTCTTACCTGCCTAAAGAAAATATACTAAAATTATTATGTCGGTAGAGCAATCTAATTAGAGCCTTATTTCTTCAAAGTTAACAGTATTATATAAACTCTCATTCTTCTTTCATCACCAGAGAAACCCAGAACAAATTGCATGAAGGCCATGACCAATACTTTCTTTTCTTAGACGAGCCATGACGAGTACTTGATGGTAATACTGAGGCAAACCCACTTCACATCCCAAATAGAAAGCAATTGGAATAGCAAGGGAGCAACAAAGCACTGTCTTCCACCACCATTGGCTGCCTGAATGGATTTAATTGAATCTGAAATAATATGGCCCCAGTTAGCATGTAGTTGACACCAATGTGAAAACTGAGAACCACAGAGGGAAGGAAGTGCAAACGTACGGGTAAACTTAGAGGATGGCCAGTTACAGTGTTTATGCAACAAGCTGCAAGATGACACGCTTCTTCACAATAATCAGAAAATACAGTTGGGATATTTATGTTCTTTATTAGCTCCTGAAACAAAAAGCAAAGTCTAAGCTTATTCTAGAAATTCGCAAGCAGTTTTAGAAAGTAGTGAATGCAACCATCAACTAGTGAATCCTGCATTCACATGCAAAAAAATGTGGGAGAATCTCATATGCTCTAGGAATCAGATACGAACTATAGTAGGCAACCAACTTGAATAAGCAGCAATGCCAGCATTTGGAGCAATCACCAAATGAGGAGGTGAATCCTGTCCGAAGAAGGTAAGGCATTAGAAGGAGCAATTTGGCGACTAAGGAGAGGAGGAAAGAAGCAGGAGCATGTGCTAGTTGGGTGACCTTCTGTATGTCTCTATAACAGTCATGGTAAAATCCACTATGCAGCTGCAACGTCACCTTCGACATCAACCCAATGCCTTCAGAGTGGCTGACGTTTACAGTTGAAGATTTGCAAATGCAATCTGGGCCCATGCAATGAGCAAAATTGCAAACATTGATCTTTTCGCCATCCCTGTTTATCAAGAGTAAAATAAACAAGAATTAAGAATCAAGGTTGCATACCATAAATATCGTCATCGAACAGCAGGTAAAATACCACTAGCTTAGGTTTCATCATAATTCACTAGCAGATAATATAAATGTTCATCATAGCAATGGGGTCCTCGCATATCCATTTTAAACTTCAGGTCTTAACCTTACATCATCAATCCAACTCAATAAACGTTCATCTCTAACAATTCGATCCCAACTGCACATATTCTTTCGACTTTCATGACCTCTATAGCTTGCACCAATCCATCAATTGCCTCACCCTTGAGTATAAACTTTCAGTATCAATAACATTCTCAACTGGATATCTAAATCAATGTCATTCCTATTGTAGTTCCAGTTGCAAATCTATTTACCGACTTTGACTCAACTTCTTACCTACTTCTAAATCTAACTTTCCATGGCTGCCCATGGCATAAGTCACCTGCAACATTTTTTGGAGTATGTCCCCAGCTGGGTAACTCAAAAACATAACTAGGCGAGAAAATAAGCTGATTCATCAAGCAAAATGTTGAAGCACAAACATCAAAGATTCTATAACACCACATATAGTCAGTAACTTCCTGCCTGGATAAGAGGGGAAGAAGACATAAAATTGATACTATTAACAATGAGGAAATTTGAGCATACAGAGACAAAATTTCAACCAACTACATCTGACTAAAATGAAAATTGAAAAACCAACTTTTTGTTGAAGCTCTTTAAATGTTCATTCAATTAATTTAAATATGAAGTGTATAATACATTCAAAAATTTAAATCAAATCCAGCCAACCCAACCAAATTAGAAGCACTTACAATAAAATATACCAAAACCTGAGCTTAAAATGCAAGAAACCTAACCTCTGTTGTGGAATTGCAGGCCCAATAAGGTCTATATGGACATGCAGACCAGAGAAGAGGGCACGCAATTCACCAAAAACAGCAAGTTGTTGAAGCTCTTTCTCAGGCCCTTCAGAAGCTCAAGTGTAAGTCAAATTTAATATCAAGTACAATACTCATAACTATAGCACCAGAAACATCAAATAACTTAAAGGAATTATAAAAAAAAAAAAGCTTGTAAAGCAGTTCAAGAAGTTTCTGATAAAAATATGCATTCCTCTAGGATGAGATACGCAGACAACTTTAATTACATCAGATTGCCAGAATGAGGTTGGTATTGTTTCTAAATATTTTGAAGTGGCATTGTTTTTCAAGCAAAGGAAGGAAAGATAAAATCTTGCATGTATAACATAACAAAGAACATAAAGCTGATGGCAACAACATACCAAGATAGTGTATGCATAGCACATTGCTTCCCTCAGGAATCAATCTTTTGATACCAATAACTTGTGTCGCATAATATACCGTAAGTGGCTGAAATTAGGATAAATAGTCACGTCAGTAGCTATAACATGTGCGTTTGGAATGAAATGCAACACATAATATTGGCTCTAACAAAAAGTATTTGTTGCACTGAAAAGTCTATGTTTGAATTTTTCCTAAATTGTAAAACTTTTCATTGTGATATAATTTTGAGAGAGAATGATAATAACTGTTTGCAAACAGACCAGAAAGGGTCATGACCAATGAAAATGAACCATAGAGTACCATACCCAGTGAAGAAGCAAAGCAACGGGAGAATCTAGTGGAATGCACCTCCATTCATAATAATCCTTCCAACTATATAAATCCTCTGATATTAGCACTGAAGGATCTGTGTAATTTAGAGGTTAGTAACACAAACAATTTTACCAAAATGACGCTGGATGCAAAGATTTTACCAGAACAAGGACATAATGAGCTTGGTAGATGCCAACCCTCATTTGCAGACCTGCCATAAGCATGAGTTGTTAAATTATAAGATGAATGTGTATTAAAATTCAATCAAGATCCAACACAAAATCTACAATAATTTTATTTTCATTTCTGACAAGGTACAAAATGTTGCAAAAGAAAAGCAACCAGAAACTGTTAACTTAAGGACCATAACCAGTCTAGGTTTCTAGTCCGGCAGACAAGCAAATTGTCAATGAAAACCACAATGGTTACAAACAGAAAGATGGTATTACATTGACATATCTCCTAAAAGCAAGAGAGAAGAAGAAACCTTCTGCAATAAAAGGATGCAACTGATGCCCCACAAGGACATTCGTGCATCCACATCCCCACACGATGGATTCCCCTTTTGTCCAAGAACGAGCACCTGCTCTCCTGCTTCTCACACACCTATAATATCACACCCAAAAAATTAGTCAGGAATATGTCAGGAACAAGAAAAGTACGGATTATGTTTGCAAATCCACATTTTTATTCACATTTCAAACACAAAAATATAAATTTGCAAATGAACTCCACCCTTTTTTTCTGGAATTAATACAAAAACAAAAAGTAAAAGGCAAAAAATATGAGACGTTTACAGACTAACCCAGAAGCCATATTGATATCCTACCAAGCGAATAATTAACAAGATACCTGTACCGTAGCTTCTTGGGAAAACAAGAATGGAAAATCATTTAAAACATCGACGCGCTTCATCTGCTGCCCTAACCTTTCACATTCTTCCTTATGGAAACTCCAATGCAAAATCTGAATGAATAACAATCAAGTACTACAAAGAAATGGCGTTGACAAGTCTTTCTCATTCGGGAATTAATTATCTTTATAAGCTAATCTAATAGCACTAATCGCATGATTGACTCAGCGTCTCAGTGAGTAAATTCGAATTGGTAAGAAATGAGACGAGGGGAACAAAAGAGAGCAAAATTAAGGAGCACCTGGTGAGAAGCGGAGCAGTATTTAACGGCGGCGCAACGAGCACAACGCCTACTAGGAGGTCCAAGGCACCGAGTCCCCCGCCCCTTCCCGGCGCATTCCATTTGGTAGCGGAAGCCGTTGAAAGTTCAGACTGTAGGACGGTGGAAGGGCACCCAGCGTACCGCCGACAAGGGGGGCACCGGTGCTCCGAAAACGAAATGACGTCGTTTACAAGAAACGATGTTGTTTTGTTATTAACAAAACGATGTCGTTGTGGTGCTGAATAAAACGATGGCGTTTTTGTGCTTGAAGTAAAGGATTTCTTTTTGGTGCTTAAATAAACCGATGTCGTTTTGGGGTCAAACAATTTTGTTTGGACTTGAAAACATAAAATTTTACGTTAAAGCCCAAAACAAAATCGGAATAGGAGTAAGTTTATGAAGATTGGACTTAAAAACATAAAATTGATTTCCATATATACTTTTAACTTGTCGAAAGAAAAACAGTGAATTAAGTCTTACCATATATTAAAAGCCAAGTTTCAGCATGATATAATCGAACTTCTGATTTTATTTTTTATTTTTTATTTTTAAATTCACAAATTTATCCTCATCCCACTATTTAGAAATGTTTTTGCTTTTTCAGAAATATTTTATCATACTGAATGAATTACAATTTAATATCCATTTATGTAGTTTTATAATTTAAATATAATATTATGGTAATTGTTATTAAGTAGAAGAATATTATAATAAATTTAGTATTGACCTAATTTTGTTTTATTTTTTTTAAAGTTAATAATTATATTTATATTAATTAGAAAATTAATTATTAGTAGTCATGATGTTTGAACCATGGAGAAGACTATAAATCTTGTAATAATTTAGAAAGACAAATTTCCAAGAACCAATAAAAAAAAAAAATGCAATTTTGCAAATCAGTTGTTTCAATTCATAACCATGACTAATTTTTTGTCTCTTATCTACCAACTTAATTGAGAATTAATCACCTATTAATTGAACTAATAAAACTAGTAATTAACCTTAAATTCTAAAGAAATTAAAGTAATGTTATGATCGGAAACACATCATTTAAATAATTAAAATTAGAATTATTCGAGCCAAGCAACTCTTACAAAAGAACAATACTATGAATGATGGCAAAGATATATTAATTGCCATGTTAAACTCACACACACATATATATATATACACACATGCAACTGTAACAAATAAAAATAGTACATATTATGAAAGCTGTTCATGCAAGTTTTTAGTTGTTTATCAAATATGTCAAACTTCATTAACTCATTACTATATAATGGCAAATATATATTAATTTACATGTTAATTACACAAGCACATTTATATACACACAGGCAAATGTAATAAAAAAAACAATACATACTATGAAAACAAATTTAGTTTTTAGTTGTTTTATCAAATATGTCAAACGTTATTATAAAATTTATAAGCTTAAATTTACACACACACACACACATATATATATATATAAAAGCTAAATCAATCAATATTAACGTAAAGAGCTTACAAACTCTATTCTTAAAAAAAAAAAAAAAAAGGAAGGTGTTAATTGAACAAAAAATCAAAAATAAATCTATTTTGTTTAATTCTCTTTTTTATTATTATAAACCTAACATAATGTTTATGACTCTTTTTTTAAGATTATCTTTTTATTACTATAATATAATCAACCGTTTCTCAATTATGTATTTATGAAATATTTAAACAAACAAATAAACTAATATCGTTTATAAACTTATATCATTTAAATATCTAATAATTTATTTATTTATATAAAAAATTAATATATATTTTGAAGGAATGTTTTACACTAAATGTAACGACCCCGGAAAATATAAAAAAGAAATGAGTATTTAAATATATCGAATGCGGAAGCGAGATCAAAATTTCAGTTAACATCCCTTACACAAAAAACCAAAAAAACGTACTTAAAATATAAAAGGTTAAACTAACTAAGAAAGAAAACTCGAAAATAAACTATGCGTATGACTACAGAGTCTTTAGGCATCCCCTTCGTCGTCCTCCTGCGGAACGGGCTCGGGAACCATGTCTTCCTGATCTGAAATGGTTAATTAAGGAGTGAGCTACACTAGCCCAGTAAGAACATCACGATATCTCACCGTCACGGAGATAAAGGTGGGTAGAAAAACACAAAAAAGACCAATGGAGCATAATTTACAACAAACTCGTTTATTAACATGAAAACCTTAACCATCCACTTACCTTGGTGGAATTTATGAAAACAATATGAGAAAAACAATAACATTATCATAATCATTGAATAATCTAAGCTGTAAAACATAACACTTATCACGCCTCTTGTAATTCAATCATTGTACAACATATCTTTTTCTCATTTACCAGCCTACTAGTATCCGTGGGGGTCCAT